TCACTTTGGAAGCTCAGCCTGCCCTGATCTTTCAAAAATTAAACGGCTATTGAAACGCATGGCATGCCGACTCCGCGTCACAACGTCAAAGAGCCATTGGGATGGTCCGTGGTGATCCAGCGACAAGTGGCTGCACATTTCCACTGCCGCAGGAACGCCGATTTACTGGTGGGGCGCTGGGAGACACAAAACCGGCGTCATCGATCGGCCACGTTCTGGACGTCCACGATAACAACGCCAAGACAGGACAGATGGATAAGGGTGACCCATCTTCGCCACGGAGTTTCGGAACTGCAGTGATGTTGCCGGTTGCTCCGGGACTTCCCGCCGTATCCCGCAACACGGTTCGACAACGTTTACGTCATCACGGGATCCGGACAACGGCGATCCGCCGTACGACCTATCCTGACACAATGTCATCGACAAACTCGCCGGAATGTGGTGCCAGAAATCATGTCCCGCTGAACCTTTGGTGGAGAATGTTGTTTATACAGATAGGTCAGGTTTTGGCAATTCTCATGGTGATGGACGTCAGCGATGCCTATAGACGCGTGAGCACAGGCCTGTGTGGCGGAGAGGAATCCCGCTTTGGTGGTGGTTCCATGATGATTTGGGGTGCGGAATAACAACAAAGAACTCGCTGAGTGATTGTTCAGGAACAACAACTGGTGTGGGCTGCGGGGATCAGATTTTCGACCTGGCGATTACGGCGTCATGGCCCTGGGTTGGCAGGACAATGCCGCCCTCATGCGGCAAGCGTTGCTGGTTTTCTTAACCACAACGTTGACCAAAATTCCGCGGATCTCTCCCGATGGGACGTTTGGGGACGAGGATGGGATCGACGTCACGCCGCGTCACGCCGTTGCATAGATAAACGGGCGAGATTTGGCGGCGTGACATCCTAAACAGCTGTGGACGTTTGATGGAAGTCGATGCACTGTTCTCAATGCCGATGGTGGACATACCGGTTATTGAGCTTGGCATGGTCGTTTGACCGTCGCTTGTGGACTCGACGTCGTGTGATTGATTTCAGTTAAATTCCGACTTATGGTCATGATCCCTCCATTACGGTTTATATGTACGCGGCGGTATCGTACTTTTTCAACTGGATAATATTTTGACAACGGTTTCTTTATGTGCTGGTATAGAATGTGACTGTGACCCGTGAAGATCCGGGCTAGAACTGACGGTTATCTCAGCGTCATTTATCCGAATTACGTCGATGCTCATCGCACGATCACTGGTCCAGATTCGATTGCTTACAGAGCGCCGCCATATAAACTGATTTATGTTGCGAAGTGTGAATATTCAACAGGGTTGGCTATTACAAATTAATTTTAATCAGCAAATGAACCGATGCTCGGGTCTTGATCCGTTATCAGTCAGACTTTGTATTTACGAACTGCCGCCATATGAAGCTCGAATGCAGCGTTAACAAAACCGCAAGGCAAAGCCACTGAGAACGATGGTGCGATAATTTATCATTGATGGTGTTGATAATAACGTAATGGCGCTTATGAATTTACCGGTAAGACCGACGACTGGCGACTACGAAACAACCAGGATGTGGAACCGATGGCGGCCAGATTATTTCGCTGATGTTGCTCACGGGGTCAAAGAGACAACATTTTATGACTATGTTCGCCGGTGTTCGTTAAACGGGCGTTTCGGGGACAATGACGGAGGATATGAGACATACAAATAAACGCCAAAACGTTTACCCTCGACTTCCTTAATGACGGATTTTATCGGATGGTTACGTGGACGTCCTCGGTCCTGTTAGCGCTGGAAAAAGTGATTTTAACCATCGGATACGGTGGCGTCGATTGGTGGTAACATCCGACGTGAAATGGATGCAAATACTGCTTGAATATTGCTGCGTTTTGGCGATTGATATTGCTATGTGTAAGCAGAAAATTGAAAAAATGTTACTATGCAAGCACAAATATTAACAAAGATCATTCAGATGTTCCTAAACACTTTTCATAATATCAAAGACACGTTTTACGTGTCTTCAGTAATGCAAATCAGCAGAAAATATTTAAAAGACTGATATCATGGAATAATCCTTTTTTACACATTACACACTCTAACACAGTTGCTTTTCGTAGTAATAGTTGAAAAATGGCTTATCTTTGTCTCAAAGAAGAATTTATTTTATTTCAATAATTCTTTTGGTCATCTAAATCACCGTTATTAGTTTATTTCGGCATGGACATTTACAACTTAAATATAAATTTTTTAACCTAAATATAAATGCATATGGAATTGTTTTTGTGTGATTTTCATACAGCCGTTCTTGTAAACTAATACCTTCTAACTTATATCTTTGATAGGTTTAAGTAATTCTTAAAGGTAGGAGGGTAACGTTTCTTTGGGCGTTTAGTCTATGTATATTTGCGAAATATTTAGGAATAATAATAATGAGATATCAGAATCAGACATCAGTTTACAATCCTTACCACAGTGTACAATGTAACTACAACTAGCTACAGTGTGGCTTTGCAACACAACATTCTCACTGCCAAAGTTTCATTTATACAAAATGTACTAAATATTACTGCAAATGTTCATTGTATATCTTCTTACTTTCTGTGAAAAGTGCTTAACTGTTACAAACACATTAAATAAAAGATCCGTTTTATTCTGGTATCCATTCATTTTCTACAGATTACACATTAACCACATATATCTCTGTACCTGTCGTAATGTTACAGAACTCTCCAGTATAAGTCCCACTGCAGCCAAGTATACAGACTCCAGTTGTTTGGTTGCATCTTTCCTCCACACAGTTGCTGCTGCAGGGATGTCCACACGTATTTCCATACCAGCCACGACCACTGTGTGAACACAGAAGATCAAACAGTGGATTCAAAATCAGATATACGATAAAATAGCGCCTGTCTGATATCACAAATAGTCGCTGTGAATAGTAATACATGGAAACGTTCATGTTAGGAAGAATTTTTTCACCTAAAATTTATTCACCTTTTCAAAAGATAGAGCACAAACGATATTATTATGGTCGATACTAAATAGTTTTATCAAAAACTCTTAAAATCTTGTGTGAACCTCTGAGGTGTTTATTGTTTGTATATTATTGACACACGTGGGAATATTTGGAAACAACAATTTGGTTCTGTGGCTTTACTGGGTACACCATAAATTGTTCAGTAGAATTACTGTAGTGTCTCATACAATGTGCATTTGACAGAAGCTCTGGCAATACAAGACTGTGTTGAAAGGATCAAATTAAAGGAACAGAAACCTTTTCCATCTTCATATGAGCAAGCAAGTGATTAGAGCCTATATAATCAAAATATAAAATCTCAAAGTAATGTTGATACCGGGTTTTGGGAAAAGCTTCCTGCTCTCTTTCAGTTAATAGTTCTTATCAGAGGTAGGTAAGAGTTTTCTCCCTTCAACACGTACAGGTCCGTATAGTATTTATATTCGCTCAGCATTAATTAAATCATTATATTCTCTTTCGCTGAAGTGGCAGCATTTGACTGTGGGTCTAAAATATAAAATATGGACACTGTGGAAACCCAGGAGTTCTACAGACAGTAAATTATATCTTCCGAAATCAACAATTTGAACATACTATTAGGTTATTAATAATGTTTTTTCAAAGTTACTTTGAAGAATCCGGGGCATCAATTTTGGTGTACACATTACTGGAGGGAGTTATTTCTGTGTATAAGTCCCTGGGTGGGATTCGAACCCATCTCAGAACGACGTGCCTTATTGCCTAAAGTGTGCTTTTTATGCGAATATCTGGTGTCATCGAATCTGATGTTCCAGAGTTATTTTACCCTTTACTGCAAAGGAATTGGTTTCGTGAACAAAGCCGGGTATTCTACTACATGGAGTTTCAACGAGAATCGAACGTAACAAAGGAGATTTATAATGATTGTTAAGAGGAGTCTATCACTTATATTTATTCCTATGAAAGTGGAATTTTTCACTGCTATTTATATATTGACAATACATGATAGAATATATAAGAAATTCTCTGGAGTCTGTGAGGTGGAATGGAATAAGTCACATATCGGTACCTTATTCCAATGAACGTGGTCATATATGTCACAGTGTTTTTTCACTCGACATGCTTTGATCCATTTCTTACAGCCAATTACATGTTTATTTATGCAGGTAGGTTTTGCGTTAATTGGGAAGTGTTGATGAGATTGTACTGGATAAAAGGATAGGTGTGTTAAGATCCATTGTCCAATGACACACAGCCTAAACTGGTTATTGTTGACTTACTTCCTGTGCTATTACAAAACACGCCCATGTTGGTTCCATTGCAGCCAACTGTGCAGTGCAGTTTGCAGGTTACAGGTCTTGTTGAGACAGTTGGTGCTGCAGGTTTGGTCCCACAGATCACCCATGCCAACCACGCCGGCATCCCTCGGAACACTTCCCAGTGTCTCTGTGACGAGTGCTAGCAAAGATTTCTTGGTGGAACTAGGGCACAGTTCACAGGACAAGAATCAGAGTTACAGTGCTCGCCATATTTCCCCACTCACATTGTCTGTATCCTGGGACGGTCAAGACTGAATTAAATAATGTTACAATAAAACCATACAGAAGTATTGTCATGTTATCTTTTTGCGAATCTGTTGAATTGCCAAAGTGTTTTCCCAAATTATCCTTTCCATCATCAGTTATCTTCATGCATGTTTATATTGGTAGACACAAATAGCAAGATGAAAATCATGTTGAATAAATCATTAATTGGTTACAGATCTAGAGATTCGCTTATGTTCTGTTACTGTTTTTCTCACTGAGGTTCCTATCAGCAAACCCCAGTTTAAGTTTATCCCGATCATCTTTCAATGTACCTCTCAAAACACACGTGTGAGATGATGTCATTTACAGTTACTTGTTGACATAAGGTACTCACTGGTCGACACTACAAATACAGGAATGTAAAGACTCCACATTCGTCAAAGTTGAACTTCAACGTCGATGTTGCTGTCAATGCTGGGAACTCCTGTAAGTCACAGATATATCTCAAGTCAACATGATATAATATATGAATACACAATGCCATTTAGAAATTGGTCAAATGTAACATATGTTATCTTTTGGATTACACTTTCTTCGTAAAAGTACAGATTCTTGTACTTTTGTTTGGTTGAGTCCCGACCGGGATTCGAACCCACACCGCTCAGAGACCGCGACTTCCGTCTACTAAAAAGTACAAGAATCTGTCAGTACTGAGAAAGTATAATCCCAAATATAACATGTTACATCTGATCAATTTCTAAATGGCATTATATTTCAACCATATCGTGATTAAAACAAAGTTTGATTTTATAATAAATATAGGTATATGTATAGTCATCTGTCTTGAAGGAGAGTAAAAACAACTAGAATATGAAAGTTATGAATATAAAACTAGTATGTAAATCGAAAATACGTTTAGTTACAGAAGACAACACAATATAGAAACAGGCTATAGATCACTAACAACTAAAGGTAGATCCACACCATACTAGGGACCATAGGGGAGATACAGTACATTTGCTTCCTGCATTGACCCTAGCTTGGTTACACCACCCTTTCAGCTGTCAGCAAGGTTTTGACAATTAGCCATAAAATAAAATAAAACATATATTCTACGGTTAAAAAGATTTGTACACAGCAGAGTTAATTTAGAGATGCAATTGTTAATTACTTCACCACCTCATTATAAATGTCGGGTCTGTTTATCGTTTCGGGCGAGAATTCAAAACATAATATGTGTTTCTTTTAAATAGTATCAACAGATTCAAATAAAATAGCATCAATTTTTTCTTAAACGAAAGAAGATATCAGATAGAGAGATCCCAAAGTGGCTTTAAAGTTCCGGTTAAAACATGGTTTCCCGCTTCCACAACATTATTCTATGACACACACACACATAACAGTCGTCTGGTGGTAGTGTACATAGTGGTCTCGGTCAAGGGCGTTGGGTTTCAGTCTCAGTTTAAAATTACATTCCTCCTTCTGAGGAAAGCAGAATACAAAACAGGAAATGTCATTTCACAGCAGGGTGAAGGGCCATTTAATTCGATTCAACTGGAAAAACATAACCAGATGAACTCTAACCTATAAACAACGCACACGTTGGAAACTGTAAGCTACATCAAATCATCAAAAGGCGTGCTCAAGACCTTACCATGATATTCTCGCCACAAACAAATATGTCATTTGTCTCGTCCTACATATTGATCAAACGTGACATTCTAGATATATCCATACAAGGCGCTGGAGGCGAGCAACGCGGCATTCAGATATATCATACCTGAGCTGGAAGTGACAACGCGACATTCAGATACCTCCTATACAGTAGGGCAGGCGACAACATGACGTTCAGATATATCCGTACAGAACCGGAGGTGACAACATGACATTCAGTCTTCTCATACCAAGAACTGGAGGCGACAACCTTGTATTCAGATATATCATGCTAGAACTTGGAGGCGACTCTTGTGACGTTCATATATCGCCTTCGCGAGGCTGGAGGCGACTAACATGACATTTCGATATATCCACTTCTAGAGGAACTGGAGGCGTAGCGACGTGACATCTCAGATATAACATACAGAACTGGAGGTGACAACGCGCGGCGTTCAGATAATCGCTTTTAAGAACTGGAAGTGACCTTTGTGACATTCAGATATAATCCATACAAGACTAGGCGGCGACAACGTGACGACATTCAGATATATCATGTGCAGAACTGGAGGCGGCAACATGACATTCCAGGTCATCCATGTATACAGAACTGGAAGAAATGACAACTGGCTGTTCAGATATAATATATACCAGACACTGGAGGCGACAACGCGACGCATTCAGATATATCCATATACAGAACTGGAGGCGACAACTTGACATTCCAGATAAATTTCTACAGAACTGGAGGTGACAACATGGCATTCAGATCTATCCTTGTACAGAACTGGAGGGCGTGAACGTGACGTTCAGATATATCGCATACAGAACTGGAAGTGACAACATGACATTCAGATATATCATACAGAAGTGGAGGTGACAACATGAGCATTCAGATCATAGCCCTTGTACAAGTGGAGGCGACAAGCGTGACATTCAGATATATCATACAGGGCTGAGGGTGACATCGTGACGGTCAGATATATCATACTTCGAACTGTTGGTGACGAGCACATGACGCTCCAGATATGTCCATGTACAAGACTGGAGGCGACAACGCGACATTAGATATATCATACAGAACTGGAAGTGACCGGCTGCGACATTCAGATACTCATCCGTACAGAACTGGAGGCGACAACATGACATTTCAGATATATCATACAAGAACTGGAGGCGGCAACTTAACATTCAGATGAATGTCATCCATAACAGGAGGTGACAACATGACATTCAGATGTAACATACAGGAACTGGAGGGACAACATGACATTCAAGTCTGTATCCATGTAGAACTGGAGGTGACGGCATGACGTTCAGATATAACATGTAGAACTGGCGGCGAGCAGCCTTGACGTTCCAGATATATCATGTATACAAGAACTGGAGGCGGCAGCATGACGTTCAGATATGTCATATATACAGAACTGGAGTGGTGACAACTTGACGTTCAGATATATCATGCACAGGGCGGAGCGACAACATGCGACTCAGATATATTCGTGCAGAACTGGAGGCGACAACGTGACGGTAAGATATATCATACGGAACTGGGTGACAACATGACGTTCCAGATGTATCGTAGCCACCGGGAACTGAGCGACAACGCGACGTTCAGATATGCCCGCTACAAGGGCACAAGGCGAAAACCGCGACCGTTCGAATCCTGTCATATACAGAACTGTTGAGGCGACAACATGAGCATTCAGGTGCAACATCTACCAGGGCCGGAGAGGCGGGAGCGTGACATTCAGATGTATCGCGCAGAACTGGAGGTGACATCGTGACGTTCCAGATATATCATGTGGGGCTGTTGTCGACAACATGATATTCAGGCCTATCATACAGAACTGGGAAGCGACAACGAGACGTTCAGATATGTCGGCACAGAACTGGAGAACGTGACATGACATTGCGATATCGCCTACAGAACTGGAGGGACAACTGACGGTCGATGTATCACATGCATGTACGAACTGGAGGCGACAAGCGACGGTTCGATGTCTCAGCAGAACTGGAGGCGACAACATGCGGTTCAGATATATCATACAAGAACTGGAAGGGCGACAGCATGACGACCCCGTGCTCGCTTACCGCACAAGGCTGGAGGGACAACATTCAGATATATCCACAAGAACTGGGGAGGTGACTCTTGTTCGAATGCTCCATCCGCCTGCCACGAGATACTGGAGGTGACAACATGACATTCCAGATATAACATACAGAGAGGGACAACATGACATTCAGATATATCATAAGAACTGGAGGTGACATCATGACATTCAAGATATATCATACAAGAACTGGAGCAACATGACATTCAGATATATCATACAGAACTGGAGAGGCGACAACATGACATCCAGATATATCATACAGAACTGGAGGCGACAACATGACATCCGTGATTATTACTCATACAGAACTGGAGGCTTATCTCATGACATTCAGATATATCATTACAGAACTGAGGACAACATGACATTCAGATTATTATCATACAGAACTGAGGCATTACGACACTCCGGTGATACATCATACTGGAAGAACCGAGGCGACAACATGACATCTCAGATATATCATACAGAACCGATATGACAAACATGACATTCAGATGCTCCATACAGAACTTAGTGACAACATGACGCCCTATTATATCATACAGAACTGGAGGTGACCGCATGACATTCAAATATATCATACAGAACTGGAGCGACAACATGACACTCGGTATATATCATAGCCACGAAAATGAGGCGACAACCGCGACATTCAGATATAACATATACAGAACTGGCGGCGACAACATGACATTCAGATATATCATACAGAACTGGAGGTGACAACACATGACATTCAGATATATCATGCAGAACTGGAGGTGACAGCGACATTCAGATGCCGCATACAGAACTGGGGTGACAACATGACATTCAGATATAACATACAGAACCGGAGGCGACAGCATGACATTCAGATATATCATACAGAACTGGAGGTGACAACACTGACATTTCAGATATCACTCATACAAGAACTAGGGGGCGACAACACTGACATTCAGATATATCATACAGAACTGGAGTGACATCATGACATTCAGATATATCATACAGAACTGGAGGTGACAGCATGACGATCCCGGTATATCATACAGAACTGGAGGCGACAACATGACATTCAGATATATCATACAAGAACTGGAGAGGTGACAGCATGACACTCCAGATATATCATACAGAACTGGAGGCGACAACATGACATCCACATTCCAGATATATACAGAACTGGGGGCGACAACATGACATTCAGATATAACATACAGAACTGGAGGCGACAACGTGACATTCAGATATCATACAGAACTGGAGGTGACAACACGGCGACATTCAGATATATCATACAGAACTGGAGGCGACAACGTGACATTCAGATATATCATACAGAACTGGAGAGGCGACAACATGACATTCAGATATAATATGCACTGAAGTGGAGAGCGACAACATGACATTCCAAGTATATCCTTACAGAACTGGAGGCGACAACATGACATTCAGATATAACATACAGAACTGGAGGTGACAGATGACGTTCAGATAATTCATACAGAACTGGAGTGACAACATGACATTCAGATATATCAGACAGAACTGGAGGCAGACAACATGACATTCAGATTATATCATACAGAACTGGAGGTGACAACGTGACATTCAGATATACCGCCACAGTGCAGTGCAGCCCCACTCAAGGCAAAAGCATTTGATTGTTTCCATAGACGGCAATAAATCACGCTGACAATACAAAACAATGACAATATGTTAATATA